AAGGAAGCAGACGGAAGTAGAATTAGGCAGAGGGAAAAATCCAATTGTACTGCAGGCCTAACAAAGCTTTGGTCCATTTGGTGGGGACCTCTGGAGTGAGTATTGCCCCCCAGACTATCCTTTAGGGGCCTGAATTGGCTCGACTTTATATCCCTAGATGTGGGCTTTCTGTGCCTGAGGCTGACCCTGAAGGAGTTGACAGCTGGTAGCAGCAAGTCCTTCCCTGAAGAAGGATGTGGAGGCACACTTGTTATCTACCAAGTTCTGGTAATACAGAGTTGAAGACTGTGGCAGGCTGAAAATGGCCCTCCAAAAGATAGCCACATCAAATCCCCAGAACCTGTGAATGTGCCCTTATTGGAAAGAGGGTCTTTGCAGATGCCATTAAGTGAAAGATCTTGAGTTAAGGCGACAATCCTGGATCATCTGTGTAGGCCCTAATTGCCATCCCAAGTGTCCTTATAAGAGAAAGGCAGAGGGAGATTAGCTGAGCGTATAGAAAAGGACAGGGTGATGTGGAAACTGGGAAGGCAGAGATTGGAGTGATACAGCCACAAGCCCAGGAAGGCCTATAGTAACCAAAGCTGGGGAGGCCAGGCACAGCCTCTCCTTGGAGCCTCCAGAGGGATCATGGCCCTGTCAACTCCTTGGTGTTGGCCTAATAAAATAGATTTTCAATTTCTGGCTTACTAAACAAGTCAGAGGAATAAATTTCTGGGTTTTGTTGTTGTTGTTGATTGTTCATTTGTTTGTATTGAGCCAGAGTCTCAAGCTGTCGCCCTGGATAGAGTGCTATGGTGTCACAGCTCACAGCAACCTCCAACTCTTGGGCTTAAGTGATTCTCTTGCCTCAGACTCCCTAGTAGCTGGGCCTACAGGCACTTGTCACAATGCCTGGCCATTTTTTTTGTTGCAGTTGTCATTATTGTTGAGTAGGCCCGGGCCAGGTTCAAACCCACTAGCCTCACTGTATGTAGCCAGCACCCTACCCACTGAGCTATGGGTGCTGCCCTAAATTTCTGTTGTTTTAAGCCATCAAGTTTGTGGTAACTTGTTATGGCAACCACAGGAAACTAATAATACAAAGAGGAGGGTGGCGCCTGTGGCTTAGTGGGTAGGGCACCAGCCCCATATACTGAGGGTGGTGGGTTCAAACCTGGCCCCAGCCAAACTGCAACCAAAAAATAGCCAGGCATTGTGGTGGGCACCTGTGGTCCCAGATACTCAGGAGGCTGAGGCAAGAGAATCGCCTAAGCCCAGGAGCTGGAGGTTGCTGTGAACTGTGACATCACGGCACTCTACTGAGGGCGACAAAGACTCTGGTCTCTAAAAATAAAATAAAATAAAAATAATACAAAGGGGAATAGGAAAATTGCTAGTGTATCCAGTGACAGGATCCACCTTGCAGGGTGTCCCAGTGTCAGGGGGGGAAATGGGGACCAAGAGTTTACACGTATGGAACATTTGGAAGAATGCTTGTAATACTGGCTGCTCACACTCCCACTCCTCACTGAGGTCTCCAAGAAGAAACCTCCTCCAATGGCAACGTTTCTACCCACCCAGGTCAGAGGGCAGCTTCTGCCCACCCCCTCCCCACTGGCCTCAGCCTCCCAAGTAGCTGGGACTACAGGCACCCTCCATGACACCCTCGCTAATTTTCCAATTTTTTTTTTTTTTTTGAAACCAGAGCCTCAAGCTGTCCCCCTGGGTAGAGTGCCATGGCATTACAGCTCACAGCAACCTCCAACTCCTGGGCTCCTGCCTCCACCTCCCAAGTAGCTGGGACCACAGGCGCCCACCACGACGCCCGGCTATTTTTTGGTTGCAGCCGTCATTGTTGTTTGGCGGGTCCAGGCTGGGGATTGGAACCCGCCACCTTAGGTGTACGTGGCTGGCGCCTTAGCCGGTTGAGCTATAGGCGCCGAGCCCCAATTTTTTTGAGAGATGGAGACTTTCTCTTACTGAGGCTGGTCTTCAACTTCTGGCCTCAAAAGATCCTCTGACCTCAGCCTCCCAAAGTGCTGGGATTACAGCCCAAATGGCAAGGATTTTTTTTGGTGTTTTGTTTTAAAACAGTCTCACTTTGTCACCCTCCATAGAGTGCTGTGGCATCATCGTAGCTCACAGCAACCTCAAGAGATCCTTCTGCTGCTGCCTCAACTATAGGTGCCTGCCACAATGCCTGGCTATTTTTTCTATTTTTAGTAGAGATGGGGTCTCACTCTTGCTCAGGCTGGTCTTGAACTCCTGAACTCAAGTCTCGCTAGCCCTGCCTCCCAGAGTGCTAGGATTACAGGAGTTAGCCACCCCAGCCATGAAGGATTTGTAATTCAACAGCCCCCAGGCTGTGTGCCCCAGCAGGGTACTAAGGTCCTTGGGACTTAGGTGAATTTAACTTGCTTTATACAACAAGGACACATTTCTGAAAATATGCGTACCAAATGTTTGTATGTGGCATGTCACACCTGAACCTAGTGTTAGGAAGGTTTGCTTAGGGACGACTGTAGCTCAGTGGTTAGGGCGCCAGCCACATGCTAGGGGCTGGTGGGTTCAAATGGGGCCCGGGGCCTGTTAAACAGACAACAACAAAAATAGACCAGTGTTCTGGTGGGCACCTGTAGTCCCAGCTACTTGGGAGGCTGAGGCAAGGGATTCTCTTGAGCCCAAGAGTTTGAGGTTGTTGTGAACTATGACACTGGCCATGTCACTCTACCGAGGGTGACAAAGGGACTCTTTCTCAATTAAAAAAAAAAAAAGGGAAGGTGTGCTTAAAGGTGAAAATTTTTATAAAGCAATAAAGTAACTCATGTGTCGAGAGTTATAGTCATAGCTCACAACCTTATCTTAAACTCTTCCCCACCCTGCTCCTCCCAGAAATAAATCCCCTGAAGGCCAGAGGTTGGGCTTGACTTCCTGGGCTAGTCCCTCCCAGGAGGAGGGGCTGGGGCCTCCTGGGCTGTACCTGGTCCTGGTGATACTCTGGAAGGGCAGGCCACACAGACGCACCTGCCACTGGAGTCTCACTGGGACACCTTCTTCAGTGTGAGGAAGAAAGAACAAGGTCTGTCCCCCTAGGTCTCAGATACCACAGGGGCCAGGAGCGGAGAGGCAGGGAGAATGAGCACCTCCAGGACAAGCCTGTACAGCTGGGAAACCCCAGCCTGACCTGAATTGTCCCCTAAGCAAAATCCCATCCCACCAACCTTCTGGTCTAGAGCAAGTACAAGCAGGATTGGGGATAGTGGGATAGGTTTGAGGGTTGGTTAGTTGTGAGTTAAGATGTAACTCGGGGCTCGGAGCCTGTAGCTCAGTGGCTAGGCACCATCCACCACCAGAGCTGGAGGGTTCAAACCCAGCCAGGGCTTGCCAAACAACAATGACAATTACCAAAAAAAAAAAAAAAAAAAATAGCTGGGCATTGTGGCAGGCATCTGTAGTCCCAGCTACTTGGGAGGCTGAGGCAAGAGAATAGCTTAAGCCTAAGAGTTTGAAGTTTCTGTGAGCTGTGACACCACAGCACTCTACCCAGGGCAACATAGTGAGACTCTGTCTCAAAAAGAAAGATGTAACTTGGAAGGTGAGACAGGGAAAGGAGGGATTTTATGCCTTTTCTCTATCCAGTGCCTTGCTCTGTGCCTGGCATGTACACACCCAGCCCGTGGAGGAAGTAGCTGGCAGGTGGATGAGTGTCTAAGCTACAGGGACACTGAATACACAGCAGGTGTTTCCCACTCTCCAGCGATGCCCATCTGAAGAGGGTGGGGAAATGCAAACACAAACAGGTCACTCTGGGTAGCTGCAAAATAGCATGGAGCCAGCTCCAAGAGCAGCCAGGGCTGGGGGCTGCATGCTGTCCTGCGTGGATCTTGGCTGCAGATCTGTGAGGACGATGTCTCAAGTGCACACACTCTACCCCTGCCCCAGCCACATGCTTATAACCTGCCTTCTTGCCTTTTGCTCTCCTCCTACCTCCCTAGGGCCCCACCTCTCTCCTTACCCCTAAGAGATTGCCCCTCTGAGGTCTTTCCAATAGACTGCTGAAAGTGTAGGGGGAGTTGAGGCCAGTGGTACTTTGGGGGTAGGGAGGCTATCACAGCTCTCTTGCAGAGTTTGATAAAAGTATAATCTAGGGCGACGCCTATGGCTCAAAGGAGTGGGGTGTCGGCCCCATATACTGGAGGTGGCAGGTTCAAGCCCAGCCCTGGCCAAAAACTGCAAAAAAAAAAAAAA